GAGGACTAGGGGTTGCCTGACCCAAGCCATGATATTTCAACAGCTTCTTCTGCACATGACAGCTGAACCTCAAATAAGGAAGACCGAAGAACTGAAGCGTTTGAATTATGGTGCTGGCCAAGAATAATGGAAATACCATGGACTGTCGAAAGAACAAACAGATCAGTCTTAGAAAAAGTACAGCCCCCCCCACCCAAAAAAAAAGTAGAAAAAAGAAAAAGAAAAAGTACAGCCAGGGAGGCGGGGGGAATGTGAGCTGATGCCAGGGACTTAAGTGGAGAGCAAACGTTTTGAGAATGATGAGGGCAACGAATGTACGAATGCGCTTTACACACTGGTGTATGTATGGATTGTGATAAGAGTTGTATGAACCCCCAATAAAATGATTTAAAAAAAGAAAGAAAAAGTACAGCCAGAATGCTCCGTAGAGGCAAGGATGGCGAGACTTTGTCCCACTTGCTTGGACGTGCTGTCACAGGAGACCGGGCCCTGGAGAAGGGCATCATTCTCGGTAAAGCAGAAAGGAAGTGAAAAAGAGGAAGCCCCTGGACAAGACGGACTGACACCGTGGCAACAACAATGGGCTCGAACCTAGGAACAACGGCGAGGAGGGGGCAATGCTTCGCTCTGCTGTACACAGTCCCTGTGAGTCGGAGCGGGCTTGAGGGCACCAAACACCACCACCCCGTAGGGCAAGGGAGAGAAGCTCTCCTGGAAAGGCCAGTCCCTGAGTCTTAAGGGGACTTTTCAGGCCAGCAACCCAGCCTCCAGAGCTCCCCAGTCCCGTCACACAACATGGACCTTTGCTTAGTCAACTTGATTATCTACGTGTGGCTCAGTGAGAACAAGAGCCAAGCCCAGGCTAGTGGAAGACTGGTTGTTGGCTGTCCGGCACCACCTGGGATCCCCAAGTCCACGGGGGAAGCTGACTCTTTCTTAGGGGCGGATATGTGTACACCGCTCCAACCAGCCGCCTGAAATGGCTGGATGGCACACTCAGAACACATGTCCAGGGCTAACGTGGGGTTGCCATGAGCAGATGCCCCCAAACAACAGCACCCATGTGGCAAGAAAGTCTGGCACCCTGAAGCTGTGGTTTGGGCCCCAGTGTGGGATGGAACGTCCCTCTCCTCAGTCGGCGATCACCATGCGCTTTGGTGCACTGACTTTTCTGAGACATCAGACTGGACCCACCCTTTTCCAAGACCTTCTCACTCTTCCAAGAAGCTGAAGTAGCTACTGCCTTTCCTGGAAAGAGGCCCTTTGTCAGGGCAGGCTCCCTTACCTCAGGGTGTTTTCTCCCTGCCTGGGACTCTGCAGGGAGCAGAATCAATGAAGGCAGGCAGGGCAGGGATCCTAGGCTCAACTGTGGGCCCAGGTGGTCGGCTCCTCTCTGCGTTGAGGGTGCGGTTGGTAACCGAAAGAGCCTAAAGACAGC